CTATGTCTTCAAAAGCCTCTTGGATAAGGTCAGAGATTTGGTTTTTGTCACCAAGTGGCACATTTCTGATTTTGACCAGTAAGAAGGATTTATGAGCATCTGTAGGGATGTAGCCATAGTAGGTTTTACTACCCCATTACTAGCATATTCTTTGAGTAGGTCTTGGTTCACGAAGATAATTTCTAGATAAGAGTGAGCGCCTTTTTTAAGATGTTGCTTAGCAGCAATAACTTTGTCTTTAACGTTTTCAAAAAGTGAGGACATTATTTTATTAAAAGAACAATGAATTCTTGAGATATCAATAATCAGAGCATTATTGTTTTTGGATTTGATTTGCTTTCTTGGAGAGAATGTTAAAAAGATAGATTGGCCTCTTTTTAGCTTTAGAAAGAGATTAGACCACTATTTAAGTGGGGCTTTATCCCGAGTAGCTTCTTGTCTTAGTTCATTAGTTAGAACATGTACATATGGGTTCACAGGAGGTTTGGAACTTTTAGGTGGTGTTTCTACGTGACTTGATGATGCGAAACTTTCTGGAACCTTTTCAGACATATGCATTTCTTTGTTGTTTTGTTTACTTAGTTCTGTTTTTTGTAAAGATGTATTCGAATTCAGCCAAGGGTTTTCTTGAGATACAATATCATCCCAACTTTTCTTGCTAGTAGTTAACTTATATTTCTTTGTATCTTCAGTGGGTTTGTGAGCAAAATGCTTGAGTTTGGTTCAGGTTCTGTAAGTTAAAGACCGGAAAAGCCTTTAACCTTGCCTTCTTTGTTAGAAGAATCCATAATTTTGTATTTTTTATTTGGTTGTTCTTGAAGTAAAGCTTTTGTGGCCTTTCTTTTTGCTGGAACAAGGGCTTTAGCCCTTGTTATTGTTGAACTGTTTGGGTTTTTACTCCTAGATATATTGGGTATTTTGTCTGTTTAATATTTTACTCTTCCTGTCTTATGTGTACAGGAAAGAGTTACCGTCTTCTAAGTATTACTAAAAATAGTCAAAGTTCTTATTTTATACCACTAATACATGTCAAAGAAAGTTTTTTTTTTTTATAATACTGCCACTAGTCAAAGTTTTATTCCATAACTATTAGTTAAATAAAGTTTTTTTTTTTGTTGAATTCAAAGTTCTATTCTATAATTATCAAAGTTCTTATTTTATAATGTTGACACATGTTAAAAATTAAGTTTTTTTTTTGCCATCATATTGCCATAATCATTAAGTTGATACTTGTCAACAATAAAATTTTTTTTTTTTTTATTATCATATGTCATAACTGCTAACTCTTTAAAAATTTTTTTCATATTACTGGAGTTTTCATTTTATAAACATTAACTTGAAACTTGCTAAGCCATAAAAAGATATTTGATCTGGTTTTTTATTCATTAAATTCATAGATTCTTTAAAAAAAAATAAAAAAAGAAATAACAGGGTTTAAGATGAATATTAGGGTAGCATAAAAGGATCTAACTTTAGTTATATGCATTTAAGTAATACTATATATACATATGTATATGCCAAACTTTGTTAACAGATAACTAGACACCAAGTAATACTAAAAAAAAAAACTTGTTTAGCATGACTTTAATAGATATTTTAATTTAATTTGGGAAGCAGTGAGTAATGATGTTAATATAAATAGTAGTGAAATTGAAAACCAGGATTATGTACTGTATATATTGACAATTTTAAATGGCTTGTATTAAAAGAATTAGTAAGCATAGCTTGGGTAAATAAGGTTAGAAGTTAAATATATATTAATTTCAATATATATAATAATTTAAAAGTTTAAAATAATAATAAGTTTATTTATAGATGATCTTCATAAAACAAACAATAAAAGAAAAATATATATATAAATAATACTCTGGAGTATAATTCATTTTATATTAGGAGGTGTGGTGACTTAGTGTAGTGGTCTAGTCATCACCCTCTCCAAGTAGCAGGTCTAGAGTTTGAATTTCACAAACGACGATATTTAAAAAATAGGCTTGTGTTTGGTTGACAGCTATGCTTATCGGTTGGATCTAATCTGTAACTTTGGTCACACCATCTAGTAATGGGAGCAATGGCACAATAAATCTGAGGGTCTGGTATAACCGAAAACCCATTTGAGAAGTTCCGAGTTAGGAAGTAGCAGTAATCTTTGATAGTATCACAAGAAGGCTGAATTCGAACCGGGGCCCGAGATTGAAGAACTGAACAACCAGGTCCTAATGGCAGAGGACACACCAGCCAAATTGCCAGGTTCTGTCGCACCAGAGGAAAAGGACATACGCTTCGAAAGTATGTACCAAGAGGAGGGCATCCTTCAGGTACCTAAAGCCTGGGCAGACCGACCCTTCCGGGTTGCCGGCTAGAAGTAAGGAGAGACCGATAAAGAATCCAGGTAAGAAGACGGTCCGAATGCGGATACCAGAGTTGCCATGAACCTAATAAAGGCAAGAAGTAGGTAATAGGCGACTAATTAGGAAGGTAATGGATCTGGGAACTGCAACATCACAGGGAGAGAGACTCAGGATATATAGTAATTGTCCGGAGCGTAGCGGAGAACCTAATAGGAAAGTGATAGACCAGATTTTGTATGTAATTATGTCCGCACCTCTTTTTAGATCAACTGATCGTTGATTTGACCAATCAGAAAAATACTCTAGAATACTTTTAAATATTTTTTTAGATATTCATAAAAATGAGTGCGGATATGACAAATAAACTTTTCTATACTAGGAACTGGAAACCAGTAAAAGTCCGGAGCATAAAAGTGCATATAGCTGTATAGTACTTCGTAAAAGGAA